GGTTGCTAGGGAGAGCTGGGGTCAGTTACAGACACACTGATGCCTGCTCTAATAATACTTTGCTCTGCATAGCTCAGATGCAGACACCTCTTGGCTAAACAGGGCACGCACATTTCAACAGAGGAGGGCTTGAACTTGTACTGCCCAGGCATACCTCCGCGAAGGAGCACTCCCGGAGCCCAAGTGGAAGGCCTGGGGTGGTGACAGGGTAGTGCCGGGCGGAGGAGGCTCAGGCCTCCAATGCTTCTCATTCCAGAGGTCCCATAAAAAGAGGCACAGTCATTCTTCCCTGCCTCGTGAAGCTGGAGCCTCCTCCGCCACACCCCATTATCATCCCACAATTTCCGGGTAAGGATCAAGGCCGAGAGTTTTGGTAACTTCTGTCACCCGGGGGTCCTGGGCACCCCACATTCCCCTGGAAGTCAGAAAGCATCAAGGCACATGCTCCAGTGGGTGTGGGACCCAGCAAATGTGAAGTCAGGAGTTGGGTGGGAGGGGGTGGAGGGACGCACACTAGGCCGTGAAGCCGATCGCCTCCCCAGCTTTACCAAGTGGCCCAGCCTCTGGCACACCCAGGCCATGTGGGTTTAGAGTGAGGTCCTTTTTCTAAAACACGTGATAGCTGCTCCGACATATATCTGAGGCCAAGAAAGAGCAAAAGGACACAGGGAGACAAGCTGAGGACAGAGAGGAACAGGGCCAGCGGCGAGGAGAGGCACCTTGGGGCTCCTGCCTGGTTGACTTGGTTAGTGAGGAGCTGCTCCTGGAGGAACCCCAAAACGATGACAAGGAATGTGAGAAAGGGTCCCCCAGATGGTCTAGAATGGCTTCCTCATGGCCCAGGGGGGATCCTGAGGCCAGACAAAGTGAAGGGACCGGCTTAGATGCCATGTCTCCTGCTTTGGTGTTCACTCCTTGGCTCAGGCTCTGCGTCCTCCACGCTACTCAGCAAAGAGCCCAGTACCTGCTACAAATTTCTTGACTGGCTCATGGGATGACAGGCAGGGCCAGCTGGTTCATAAGGGACAATGGTGGCACAGTCAGGTCATTTCTGGACTGTCTACCTCCTGAGTGGTGCTCACCTGTCTACACTGCAGCATCACAGGGGAGATCTTTCAGACGGATGGCCAGCCTGTCCCTGGAGAACCTAATTCAGCTGGTTCAGGCTAGGACTCCTGCAGTGGTATGCTCCTCTCCATATGATTCGAGCAGGCAGCTAGGCTGAGAACCCCTGGCCTACAGAAAACCTGGTGGCTGGAACTGAGTGTTCCCAGGCCGCATCCCCACTGCTGACAAGCACACCAATAAAAGTCTGTGACTCAGTGGGCCCATCTATGACACTGACCCATCACCCACAAACTGGCAGTCACCCAGTACAAGGCCTTGTGACTCAAAGTGTCAGGTCCCTGGGCCCACAGCACCCACATCACCTCGGAGCTCGTCAGACCTGAGAATCTCAGGGTGCACTCAGAACGAGGGGATCAACATCTGCATTTAAATTAAGTACCATGCGATTCAAAAGCACATTCGAGTTGAGAAGCACCGATCTGGTGAGAAACACTGATCTAACGCTCGGTGCGTAATAGACATTTAAGAAATTCCACTGTTTAATAAGTGGAATTTTATTTACAAGAACATGGAGAAAAGGACCATATTTAAGGCAAAACGACTTGGTTTTGATGTAAGAACTGAAGACCATTCTTGAGCTGTGGGATTGGGGACGGGTCCATTGAAACCCCATTGGCTTAGGAGGGGAGTGCTTCTGGGCTCCAGGAGAGCACAATGCTGAGTCTCTGGCTGGGAAGGGTTAAAGGTCCTCTGACCTCCCTTTGGCCCCACTGAAGAGGTCTGCACCCCGGAGGGGCAGGGAGCCCTCACCCCTCTTCCAGAGAGTCCCCTACAGCAGAGCCTGCCCCTCTCCCCCACGCTGCCAGCTCCCACTGCCGAAACCCAGGCAGCAAAAGCAGTCGGCCAAGGAGAACACCGTACAAAGCCGGCACTGGGACCTGTGTTCATAGCGTACTTCAAACCCTGGGCCCCACTGCAGCCAGCATCGCTAAGCCGGGCCTCTGATGTGGAGGCAGCAGCCCAACTGGCCACATGAGGGGCATCTCAGAGGCCACCGAAGTGACCGGCTGGAGATCCAGAGGCGGGGGGCCGGGGCTTGAGTATGAGTATGAGCTGAGTATGAGCCATGCGAGGAGAAAGGGAAGGAAAGGGCTCTGGCGGCTGGAGGCTGTCTGCCGGGAGAGGAACACGAATCAGGTTTGCCAGAAAATGAAGGCAAGTCAACCAAGACCCCGCTGTGGGGGTGAAGAAGGGAAGTCGGGTTTGATAAGCCATGTCCATTTCCCTCTTTTCTAGTACCTTGTGAGTCCTGGGTGGTGAATGGCCACGATTCTTGGAAAGCTCACTTCATTCAATCTGCCGCCTCCCCAGTGCCAGGGAGAGGCAGTGGGGCCCAAGGGGCCCCGAGCGGACCCACCAATGAGGGAGCTTCCTCTGGGCCTCGTGATTGGGGAGCCGGTCTGTCAGGAGCTCCCGGGCAGCCCCAGGCCGGCACATCCAGCCTGTCCGAGGGGCCTTGAGAGTGAGGGTCCAGCTCAACCCCTCCAGGGCCCTTTCTCCTTGGCTTACACAGAAGCTGGGGCTGTAGGTGGTGAATAGGGGGTCCGTGGGGGCCTACGGGGGACGCTTCGATTTCTCAGTACCTGATGCCACAGATACCCTACCCAGGCAAATAGCAGATGGGGACTGAGAGCCCTCCTCCACCCCAGGAATGAGGTAGCCTCAGTAGGGCTGGGTCTCCTGGGCTGGCTCCCAAAGAACCATCACTGAGCCATAGCGTGGGGTGGGCGGAAACAGCCAGGACTGTTTCTGGCAGCGGCAGGGCCCAGGGAAAGTGAGGTGGAGGCAGCTCCTGTGGGGCCCCTCGCGCGCCCCCTCAAGGCCCCCGACTATCTCCAGCAGCATCAACCTGGAAGACCCGTGGAGGAGGGTCAAGCAGCCGGGCCAAGTACTTCCCGGCGGGAGCAGCAGAGGCCCAGTGCCAGATGCTGACCGCTGAATCGGGCTGAGAAGCCCTGTGTCCCGGCTCTCGGTTTAGTGCCCTCGCCCTGCGCTAGTGTTTGCCAAACTGTGTCTCTTGACACACTAATTGGACACGACGTTATTAGCCGGGGGATGCGAAGAGGACTCGCGGAGTTCGGCGGGGCCAATAGGGTTCCCTTCCTGCTGTGCTAAGTCAGTCCACTCTGCGGCTGATGGAGAGGCGGCTGTGCCACTGAACCCCTTCTGTGGCTGAGCCTGTCCCAGGACGGATGCCCTGCCGGACACTGTGGGCAAGGCTGGTCTGACCACAGGTCATTGGAAGAAGCGCCTGACCCGGGCAGGATCCTGGGCGGGCCCTGCGGCCAGCGGCCCTTCCCGGCTGGGTGGGTCTTGTCCCCACACCCTGGATGTCTGCCTGCCACCAGCTCCGACCACCAGGCTTCTTGGAGCTGGCAGCCATTGTCTGCAAGTCCTGGCCTATCCTGGCCTTCCTCTGGAAAAGAACAAAAGCCAAAGCCAAAGGCCGACCCTGTCCCTCACTACCCCCCCCCACGTACGTGGCAGACAGGCTACTCTCCGCCGCCACCGTCCACACTCTCCCAGGACATTCCGGCCTGTGAGGAACATGCCCGATGTGCAAATCCCTCAGGTAATGCGGGAATTCGTCACCAGGGGAGTGTGGGCGATCCAGGAATGGGAACCTGATCGCGGCCTGGAGCTGGAAAGAAGCTGCTGGGGCTGGCTGGCGAGGGCTCAGGTTACAGTGAGCAGACTCCCCAGGAAGAGGGAAGGACAGCAGGCGTGGAGCCCTTCGGGCAGCACACAGAGGGGGCTCCCTCCTCCCTGTCTTTTGGGGAAGAGACAGCAGACTTTGAACCAGCTGCTTAAGACTGGCGTGACCACATGGTTTACGCCTGGTGTTTGGGTGTGATTATGGACAAAGCTCCTGTGCCCCTCAGAAGCGCTGTGGCTTGGAGGACCTCTTCTACGCTCACCCTTGTTCACACAGACCTGCGGCGGGTGGGGTGGGGTGGGGTCTCTTTCTATTCTGGAACTCTGTGCTCACAACTTCCAGGCTCCTGTCTTGCCCTACCTGGCCTGGAAACTCAGTTCACATCTCGGCAAGTCTAAGGTACAAAGTCAGAGTAGAGATGACTTTCCCATAGCCAGGAGTCCCCGGGTGACATGGCTACGCCGTGCAACCTGCTACCTCTCCCTGATGTCACCAGCGACAGAAGAGCAGGCACTGGCCTCCAGCTCTCGAGATGGGACATCCTTAACGCATACACGCCTGTACCTGCTGCCCACTGACGCTAGTAAACCAGCACCGAGCACTGGGACCCACGGAAGAAGGGATGAAATGGTTGGGGATTAAGCTCTCTGGAGGGATTTTGAGTGGGAAGGCACTGAGGGACAGGACAGTTGTGGCTCTCCACGCTTCCCCTCTGCCTTAAAGGTGCTTTCGGGAAGCCCAATGCATTTGCAATCAGACCACACCTCTCCTGCTCCAAGCCTCCGTACCTTCCACTCACACCCATCTAAGCACCAGCTACACCAGCTCCGGGGGCTGGGAGGGGTGGTGGCCTGGCGCTGGAGGAGGAGGAGGAAGAAAAGAGAAGTCCACACAAGTTCAAGTCTGCTCGGACAAGGAGAGGTCAAAGCACAGAGACGGGTTAAGACCAAGCGTCAGTGCTCTTATCACGGAAATAGAAAGAGGGCAAGGCTGGTTAAACACGAAACACCTATAAAATTATATTGGTCCATTGTAACCATGGAGCACTCACACAAACACATACAAATCCGACACTCACCCCTCGCCCCTCGAGTGCCATTTTATTTTCTATAATTAATCGGGCAAGGGTGGAACTTGGGAAGAGTTCAACTGTGGTCAGCATCCTCAGCCTTCTCTCTAGTGCTAACCCAGGGCTGGTGCGCCGGGGGCCGGTTACCTGAAGCATGTTGAGAAGCAGGCTCCGGAACTTGGTCCCCTCCACCATGAAGAGTGCCATCTTGTCACAGAGCTTGGCGGCCGTGAAGGCGAAGCTGCGGTCGGACACGGCCTTCTGGTAGATGGTCCGGACGATCTCTCCCAGCATCTCCTCGGAGTTGGTCGAGTTCTGGGCCTCCTCCATGAAGGTGCTGAGCTTGGCGTCCACGTCGCTGCTGTTGTTCCGCATGCTGTTCAGGATCTCGATCAACTTGTCCATCTTGTTCTGCTGAGGGCTGGTGGTCTCCACGGCCACTTCGTCCTGGGGGTGCGGGAGACAAACCGAGTTGCGCCTGAGTGGAGCCGAGGTTACCGCCGGGGGTGACCAGTGGAGGGAGGGCTGCCGCCCCCAGAAAGGATCCAGCCCTACCTTCTTGAACCCAAGGTCGGGTCCCTCTGGAACGCGGACCTCCCCCAAAGACCGTCTGGCCCCAGGGTCCTCTGCTGACCTTATTCTTGGCTCCTGTGACCTCTGCGGCTGATCCTTCTTGCAAGCTCTAACTCTTACCCAGGATTCCCATATATATTGGCTGTGTGTCTACTTGCCTATAAAATGTCTCAAGCTAGACATGAATTAATGGGGCTTGTAAAAGAGGAAATGAGATAACAAGCAAAATATGGAGTCTAAGGGCAAGAAGGAGGGAAGTATCCCAAATGCCCGCCATCTTGGTTAAAGGCGCCCATGGAACAGCTACCTGGTCTTCCAGACTCTAGGTTCCTACAGCCCTCGGACAATCAAGATCTCTGGGTAAACAGAGCCCTGATTTTGTGTCCTACAGAGATTGTGCCGGCCTTCTAGAACAAATGCTACCTACCAAGGAATCCTGCCATGTGCCACTGAATCAACTGGCACTTCCTGGAAGGAAATTTCAAACAACAGACCCAACACTCTTTAGAAGTTTCACTGCAAGTGGATCAGACCCAGACTGGTGAAGGAAGAAAATGTCATCTGACAGTCTCAAAAGTATTTATTCAAAGATAATGGATGGATAGCCAAGAACGTGATCACCCTAACTGCTGGGATGTGAGATCAGGGTGAAGGGCAGGGTCAGGGACATAAAGGGAGGTCCCACGCTTGTCCTTGCGTTCTCAACAAGGAGAACACTAGCCTAGCACAAACCAGGGTTCTAGAACCTGCTTTCTGCCTCTAGCCATATGGCTATGGGCAGTGGTTTCACTCTCCGGGCCTCAGTTTACTCACCGGTAAGATGAGGAGGTTAGATGATGCATAGCTTTCCCTGAGCCCTGCCACTGTCTATGCCAGTGTCCTCCTGGTCCAGGAATCCGGGGCCTCATCTAAGAGGAGTCCTTGAAACCCATGTATGGGTGCTATGGATCTACCGTTTCTATTCTAGCCCCTCCCTGCCCACCCCACTGCCCAAATCTCTGGGCCCCAAGGCAGAAGAGTGGTTTGTACATAAAACAACAACCACCCGGGAGGGGCTTTACACGTGTCATGATATTTAATCTTTACAGTCTGTCTGCAGGGTGGGTACAGATGAGTCAGCTGGGGCTCAGAGAGGTTAGGTGACTTGCCCAAGGTCACCTAGCCAGTCAAAGGCAGGGTGGGCCCCAACTGGACTCTCAAGCCCATGTTGTTTCCACTCCTCGACAGTGTAGCTACATTTAGTGGAACTGGAGGGAATGAAATGAGTAATCTCGCCACACTGTCCAGGCTGTAGGAACACGTCTTGGAAAGTCTTCAGGAGAAGACATACTGGTCACCAGCTGGGAACCACCTCCAGGCTCCCACCTTTGAGAAGCAGGGAAATGAATGGCGCTTCCCTCCTGGACCTCACAGTGGCAAGCCCCACAGTGGCTTGCCCCACAGTAGCTCCATCCATGGTGGGTGGGAACTCAGGGCTGCAAAGGATGCTGGGAGCAGCATCTCAGCATCAGGTGTTGGCTGGAGAAGAGGTCTGACCTGCCTCGTCCTGCCTGAGTGTGGACCGGGGCCCGGCTTCTTGGGCAAGAGGAGAGTAGGTGGTTGAGAGAGGCCAGGGAGAAGCCCACGGCTTCGGGCTCACAGGAGCCCCAGAAGGAGGACTCTGGGGAGGGCTGGGGGGCAAGTTGGCCTTCTCAGAACAGCTACCCCAGGTGACTTCTTCTGCATCTCTGGCAGGAAGGGGGGTTATGGTGAGCATAGTGGACTGGAAGCTGCCAGCGACATAGTCCCCCCCATCTGCTAGAGGCTCAGGGACATGTCCTCCTGAATTGGCGGGCCAGGCTCTGGAAGCCAGGTCTGGGGGTAAAGTGAAGACAGAGAGGCTAGGGGTGGGAGGCAGGGGGCAACACTTAAGGCCCTCATTCTCGGGCCTGTACCAATGCAGGGTCGGCACCTGCAGGATGCTGGGCGGGGGGTAAAGGCCTCCTTAGACCCTTCCCTGGCTGCTGTCCGATGAAGGAGGAGAACGGCAAAGCCGAGGACTGCTCGACCTCTTCCCAACTCACCTTCACTCTCAACCCTGGTGGGGACCACAGCTGGCTGGCACTTACCTCGGGGAGAAGCATCGGTCCTTCTCATCCTATCAGCTCTGAGTTTCCCCCCAAGTCCTCTTTAGCACTACAGGGCAGTGTCTGACCACAGAGAAGGCACAGGGGAGAACCAGGCCTTCTCGGCACCCTTCCCACCCACCTCGGGTACGTGGCCCTTCCTCCCCTTCCCTCTCAGGCTGGGGGCTGCTGCCCGGTGCCCCCTCCTCCCCGCCGGGGCCTCTTGGGGGACCAGAAGGGGAGGAGCCAGAACATGCTGGAGGGGTTCATGCAGAACTGGCCATGGGCCGGTCCTCTGATGACCAGGGTTCCAAAGGCAGCAGGGGCCACCTCAGACCCGCACCCACCACCAAAGTGCCTACCTCGCGTTGTCCTCCCTGGTGCAAGAGAACAACAAAAATTCAATTACCGGTACCTTTTCTTTCAGCCTTCGCCGCAGCCTGTCTTTGGAAGATTGGAGCAGGGTAATTTTGGGCCGCTCCCCGATGCGCTCGGGAATAATACTGTCTTTACGCTTTGTCTCAGCCTCCGGACCCCCCAACTGCTGCAGGGGCAGCCTCTCAGAAGCCACTGGGGCAAGCACATCAGGGCTGCAGGGGGGTTCGAGGCCGCTGTGCCCGGTGTCCCCCAGGGCGTCCTCCAGTTTGGAACTCTCCATGGTCACGGTCTCTTTGGCATTGCGGTGGGCGCCTGCCTCCCCCTTGTCGCCCGGGGGGTGCTTCATGTTGCTATGGTGCCAGCGTCGGTTCTGGCTGTAGCCATGGTGGGTGGGCCTCCCTGAGGGGTGGGGTGCCGAGCCCCCCTGGTAGGATTTCTGGTGGTCCCTGTTGTGTTTGGCACTGCCTGGCTGGTGGTCACCATGCTGCTGGGGCTTGTTTCCTCCTGGGGGTCTCTGCTGCCGTCTGCAAACCAAAAGGGGAAGACACAGAGGGTCACCAGGAGGGCGGCTCAAGGTCCCTATGCCAAACACCAGGAGAGCAATCCCCTGAGCCGTTCATTCATTCCTTCTTTCAGCTCCCTTCCTGATCACTTCCTCAGGACGGGACCTATAGATATAGCAGAGCAGGAGGCAGACAGGTCTGCGCGATTCCCGAGGGTTTGAGTCGGTCCTTGAGTTAAAGTATTATTTAATTAGAACACACGTCAGCCCATGTGTGGGAAACCAAATTCAAAGGAGGCGCTAGAGGAGATCATGAACCCTCCTGACTCTGCCTGCAGCCACCCGACCTGTACTCTGGAAGCAACCATTACCATTTTGGGAAGCTTCCAAACATATTCCATGCACGTTCCGGCAAAGACGTATACACAGATCCGCGTCTGTAACAACTATCCTGGTAATGGCTTTTTACCATAATGGCTCTCATAAAGTTATAGCATTTGTTAAACAACCTTTTTTTTTCTTTTTTCTTTTGGTAGATTGACATTTGCATCCCCAAGCCCACTAACGCAATGAGAAGTTGTGATGGGCTGAATTGTGCGTCCCCACCCCCACAGTCCACATGTGGAAGCCCCCATCCCTGCCACCTCAGAATGCCACTGTATTTGAAGAGAGGGCCCTTAAAGAGGGGATTTAGTTAATCCGTTGGGCCATTAGGGTGGGCCCCCATCCAATCCGACCGGTGTCCTTATAACAAGAGGAAATCTAGACACAGTCACACACCAGGGACGCAGGCACAAGGAAGACCATATGAGGAAATGGCAAGAATGCAGCCATTTGCATGGGAGACGAATCCTGCAGACACCTTAACCTCCCACTTCCAGCCTCTAGAATTCCAGAAACTCAATTCCTGTGGCTGAGTCACTCTGTCTGTGGTATTTGGTCATGGGAGTCCGAGCTAATGGACATGAGTGTGACACCCGACTCACCGATTTCCTGGACGTGCTATTTCTAAGGCAGAGAAAGTCACATGGAACAGACTTGAGGTGTGCACCTGGGATGAACCCCAAACATTTTGATCTGTGGACTGAAGACAAGTGAGGAGATGGGAGGGGGCGTTCTGGGGACCCTCCGGTCTTGTGCACAAAGGGTGTTTCCATCTCTGGAAGCCCTTTCGGGTCTACCGTTTCGGTATTTTCCACACCATGACTTTATATGACGTGCAGATGGAGAACAAGACGACCACGAGCACCTTAAAAGTTGTAAAGTCATTGAAGGATGTTTGTAGAAAGAAGACTTTACCTTCTAAAGACTGAGGCTTATACCCTCGTCTGTGAGCCTTCTCCTTGGCGGGTAGAACAGACCTTTATTGCTTTGCATTTTATGAACAAAAAGGTGTTTATTTCCTTTAAACTATTACTACTTATACAGACTCAGTTTCAATGTTCACTTGATAATTTTGGATCTGTGAAAATGTGAAGGCATCTTGGGTTGTGGTTACACATATCACTTTGCCATTAAAATCAATGAAAACAACGTTTTTTGTTTTTTTTTTTTTCCATTGAAAAGCTTCCCCTACTAGCAGGGATTTCAAGGGGGAAATTAAAGTTGTTAGGTGAGAGACAGGTGTGTGGTCTTTTGTTTCCACACAAATGGTAACTACTAAACACTGTATAATAGAAGGAGGAAATTAGTATATTTCTGGAGGGAAATTCAACGATTTGTTACAAGAGCCTCTAGAACACACACTGGACCTTGTAATTCCACTTGTGGCAATTTATCCAAAGGAAATGAACAAAAGCCTGCATAGAGATGTAGGTACAAGGATGTTCATCACAGCAGTGCGTAATGGAAACTGAATATGGAGTCATAGGACATGGTATAAGACTTGACTCTGGTTGACAGAAGAAAGTAGGCAACCTTGAACGTGTAGCACGGTGCGATCTTTTAAGGCAAATATTTATGTGCCTAGAAAAATCTGGAAGCAGACACACCAAAACACTAACGGTGGTTCTCTCTAGGGGATGGGATGAGGATTTTTCTTTTTTCTTTTCTTTTTGTTTTCTAAATGAACATGAAGTTCTTTCCCTTTTTCTCTGTTCTTGGGGGTGTGGTGGGGAGGAAGAGGGAATGGGAGAATCCCAACACGCTCTGTGCCCAGTGCAGAGCCCCAACTCATCTCACAAGCCTGAGATTGAAACCAAGAGTCCGACACTTAACTGACTGAGCCACTCAGGAGCCCCAAGGTAGTGGCTTATTTAGTTAAAAAAACAAACAAACCCAACGCCTTGTTGTTGAACTATTTTCCAGAGAGGCTGTACCATTTTGCATTCCCACCGCCAACACACAAGCTGTTTGCAGTCATTATTTCTCAGGGTAATTCCAGCCGCATCCTTTCCCCCTCCTCGACTGTATGGATTCTGAGAACACGCATGTTAGATATGCTATTCTGGACTCCCCGGTCCCAGAATCTCGTTCACCGTTTCTTTCTTTTTTTTCCTTTTTTTTCTTTTCCCAGCCTATTTTCTCTGCGTGGCTCAGACTGGATCAATTCTAGTCTCTCTTCCAGTACACTGGTTCTTTCCCTTGCCCCTACATTCTGCTGTGGAGGCCGTGCATTGAGTTGTTAATTTCACTATGAAGTTTCATTTGGGTCTTTGTTATAGCTTCCATTTCTTTGCCAAGACCTAATTTTTCATCTGTTTCAAGTGTGTTCCTAATTGTCCTTTGAAGCATTTTTATGTTGGCTGCTTTGAAAATCTTTTGTCAGATAATTCTTTTTTTTTTTTTTTTAAAGATTTTATTTATTTATTTGACAGACATAGCCAGAGAGGGAACACAAGCAGGGGGAGTGGGAGAGGGAGAAGCAGGCTCCCCGCTGAGCAGGGAGCCCGATGCGGGCTTGATCCCAGGACCCTGGGACCATGACCTGAGCGAAGGCAGCTGCTCAATGACTGAGCCACCCAGGCGCCCCTTGTCAGATAATTCTAACATTTCTGTCATCTTGGTCTTGGCATCTGTTGTATTTTCTCATTCAGTTGAGATCTTTCTGGGTTTCAGTATGACTAGGAGATTTTCGGTTGAAACCTGGGCATCTTGGGTATTATGTTCTGTGAGTCTGGACCTAATTAAGTTGAGTCTTAGAACGGTTTTGGCCGGCTTCCTCTGACCTTGCTCCAGTACCAGAAAGGGCTGTCGTGCCTCGTTACTGCCAAGCGGGTAGTAGAGGTTGGCTTCCCTACTGGGCTTTCTCTGATACTCCAAGAGAGGTCCTCTTTACGGCTGAGGAGGGCTGGGAGTTCTGGCTCCCCACACTGTTGCCTCCCTGGAGAGGAGGGTACACATTGCTACCAGGTGGCCTCCACTGACACAGAGGGTGGGGTGCTCTGTGCCCCATGGGGACGAGTCCCGAGTCCTCACTCAGCCTTTCTGACACCACCTTGGGGAGGATTTGGGACCCTCCTCACGGCCCATTGAGAGTCAACTCTTGGCTTTCTCCTTGGCCTTTGCTTGTGTGGGTCAGGGTGGAGACCCCCCTTTTTTTCTGGGAGCTTTGCCTAGAGTTGAGTGTTATCATCCAAAAGTTTTCTGCCTCGCAAGGTTGCCCCTTTTCTGGTCCTCTGGCTAGAGAGGGCAGGTTTTTGTTGGGGTTTTTTGGTCTGCCTGTGCCTACCAGTGTTTCTGGGTTGCCGGCTTCTTTGGCTCCAGGTCTGGGATCTGTGAGGCCAGGAAGAAAATCAAGCAAGTTACTACTCTATCATTCCTTGGGCGCCATGGTCCCCATCCGGTCTGCCTTCTCTCCAACCTTTTGGAGTCCTCTTATGTTTGTTTTTATGTAGAATGTCCAGGGTTTCTAGTTGTCTGTATTTATTTTAATAATTTAAGAGTCATTACAGAAACATCTACGGAAGCCTGGGACGTGTCACAGAGTCCGGCTGTCTGAGTGTGACCTGGGCCCTTCTCAGGAGGCCCGCATGGTATTTTTCATCCTTGATGTCCGGGTTCAATCTCATTGGGTCTGAAGTACATCCCTGGAGCCACGCTGGCCTGATCCTCGGGTGCAAGAGGCATCCCTTCCTCCCCACACCCCTCCCCTCTGCCGGCATGTCTACAACTCTCAGTTTTATTCCCCAGTGGACTCATTCTAAAAAGCAGGGAGCAGCAAGGTACCACAGCTCTAAGTTCTGGAAGACAGTCAGTTTGCATTCACCGAGGGGCAGGGCTCATGAGTAAGGCACCCAGGCAAGTGCTGGGCCCCGTCCGCAAAGTGAGTCACTGGGTCAGCTTCTTTCCAGGATCACCAACTGGCCTTCAGACTGCCCAGACCTAAATCCAGATGCCTGAGCCACAAGTCGGCTCGGAAGCCAGCAGCCCTCACCTGAGGGGCACAGACCGCCTCCATCTGGAGAGAGCCAGAAGCCTGGAGCCGGGAGGAATTCCACGGCCCTCCCACTCCTCAGGGTGCCATACGCCTGTGACATTTTGTGAATTCTCCCTGCTTTTATTTTTCAGTGACTTTCAAGTAATTCGCCCTCTCTCCTTCCACTCTCTTTGTTCTCAGAGTATGAGTAATTTTTAAGCCCAGAGAAGAACCTTGGAAATTCCCTGGCAGATAACGCTTGATTGTCACGACTTTTCCCATCCTTATTTAGAAAATTAGTGGTGCCTGCAGCTACGGCCCAAGGAATGCCCCCAAACGATGGCTGACCAAGTCCTTCCCAGCATTTGTCTTAACACTGTCTGGCTTCCCACTTGCCGTATCAGGGATTTCCCTGTCTCTGCCCAACATCCTCCCTCCTTTCCCCCACAAAACAAAATAAAACAAAACAAGACAAAACAACAACAACAAAAAAAAACAAAACAAAACTTCTCTCCACCTGGAGGAGGAAGGAGGTAATTTCGACATGGTTGGTGGTCAAGGGCTCAGAAGAAAGCAGCTAGGTCTTGTAGACATTCTGCTGTTCTTGCTGGAAATTTTGGAGGGCCTGGAATTCCGTGTCATCCTAGTTTGCCAGACCTTGGAGC